CTTGCATTTTGAACATGATGACATACTTGTACAGATAATTAAAAACATGACTATTAGGACAATGTATGAACTAACTAAACTTATATTTATGGGAAATTGGCAATTAAGCATTGCTMAAATATTTCGGATATTGTAATCATTGTTCATTGTATAATTTAGGTCCCGAAATTCTATTAAAATTGCCGATTTTTCACTTTGGTGATAACAGATATAAACATATATACATAATAAAGATAAATAACTGTAATATCTTGACATTTGGAACGTGCAAGATTTTTAAATATCAAATGGTTACATTTTAATTAAGCTTAAAAAAATGAAGCAAATAACTATCAGAAAAATGCCGTATTACTACTGAATATTATTATTTTTTTTATAGTACCAAAGTAATAAGCAAAATAAACACTAGAATAATAGCATCACAATGCTTTTTGTCCTTTTGGAGATATTCYGAATAGGAACACGGTTGTACTTAGAATTGAACTCCCTCACGCGTATGGCTGGTGGACAGCTGAAACTAATTTTGATAGGGATAGTTTTAAGCTTAACGGTGGACACAATTAGCATAATCAAAATTATTGCAATTTCCATTTCTACATTAATATTATTATGTTACAATGTACAAATGTTTCAAACAGTGGAAGGAAAATATTTCAAAATATTATGTTTGTTAAATTACCTAAATAGAAATCATTTAATGTGGTAGATAMAAATATAAATTTTTTCGTTGTGCATAGAAAATATTTAAGGTTATATCGCTATCGCTATCGCTATAATATGTTTATTGTTTATACTCGTATATTATCTAGCAAGGCGTATTGCGTATTGTGATACTTATTTTTATTATTTCTAATCGATTATTTGATTATTTTGATCCTTCCTATAACCTCTTACAAAATGGACTATCCATCAACCTAATCTTTATCCTTTCAAATTTAATCAGGGACATTTTCCAGAACATATTTTGGTTTATCATAATATAATATATAAATACATACACTATACTAGTTTGTTTATGAATTTATTTATTGATAAG